TTTAATTAATTTTTTGAGTTATTTCAGATTAATTATTATATTTAAGCATTACAACACACTAGCTACATATAATACATAGTAGGAATATTAATAGCGATGTGCACGATTTTTCTGAAGTGACAGCGATGAGAATAACGTAAACAATGATCGGTTATCATGATTATGTTATGCAACTTTTAGCTGAATTTTTTGCTGAATGTTTTTCCAAGTTTTTTATGCTTACACAATACAATCCACAAATACTATATTTGAAGAGCTTTTACAAATGCGTGCATTATACATGCATAACTATATAATGTTGTTTTGTATGCTTACACAATACAATACACAAATACATACAGGTTATTTTGTATCTGTAATGTAATGCATAAATAAATGTCATGTGCATGATGTACACTGCTTCACGCTAATACGGCGCACGGCGCTAATGATATTCGACTTCGCCAGTCGGAGATCACTAAAAATAACATTAAAGAGGTGTGTGAGCAAGTAGGCCTACGATGTCAAACGCTGTAATATGCTCTGGTCCCCTCCCTGCTTACCGTGGTGATGAGATACATAGCAGACTGTCATCACTCAATGGCTGGATGTTTAAGTGGTGCCCGCAGAATAACATAGGTTTCATAGACAATTGGAAGAGTTTTGGGGCAGACCTGACCTGTTGAAAAGAGATGGTCTTCATCCCTCCTGGGGTGGTACCGCTCTTATCTCTAGAAATATGGCACATAGCATTAGAGTTTGTACTTGACTAACTGGGGCCCAGGTCAGGAAGCAGACAGACTGGCTAAACCACCGTCTGCTAGCCGCCTCACAGTCACAGAAATCAGTTAATTCTCAGCACATAGACTCTTTCATCTATAGATATCACACTATAGGAACTGTGTCTAGAAAATACAAAAAACATCCAAACAAATTTAAGAGTAACAATTTAATTGATGTTCAACAAATAAAAAACAGATGTAATACGGATAAACAAATGATAAAGATTGGCTTATTGAATATCAGGTCCCTTTCTAAGAAAGCACTTTTTGTAAATGATATGATAATAGATGTGCTCTGTTTGACAGAAACCTGGCTAAAACCTGATGATTACATTATTTTAAACGAGTCTACCCCCCAAGATTACTGTTATAAACATGAGCCACGTCCAAAAGGTAAAGGGGGAGGTGTTGCTACAATTTATAACAATATTTTCAGTATTTCTCAGAGGGCGGGCTTCAAGTATAACTCGTTTGAAGTAATGGTGCTTCATATAACATTATCCAGAGAAACACAATTCCACTCATTCTCTACTATAGGAGAAGAAGAATTGTATAAATTTGTTAAATCATCTAAACCAGGGGTGGGCAAACTTGGCCCTTCCAGGTCACTTTCTTTCAGAGTTTAGCTCCAACTCTAATCAAACAAACCTGAACCAGCTAATCATTGTCTTCAAGACTACTAGAAAGCTACTGGCAGGTGAGTTTTATCAGGGTTGGATCAAATCTTTTCAGGAAAGTGGCCTGGAAGGGCCAAGTTTGTCCATCACTGATCTAAACCAACAACATGTATTGTATGATAGACCGTATTCCATCTAAGCTCCTAAAAGGGGTGCTTCCAGAAGTCATAGATCCTCTTCTGACTATTATTAATTCATCATTGTCATTAGGATATGTC